TCTGCAATTATTGTTTCAGGTGAAGGATTTGTTGGCGACCATGGTGATGAGACGGAGGAGACATGACGAGCGAGGACCATAGGCTACGTAGTTACTTTTGCTTAGCTTAAGTTTTAGATGGTTAAGACCCTACGTTTTGGTCGATAAACTATTTGATCTTATCTGAATAATTGGGAGGTTCCCAACTTGTTGTTTATTTTATTTCGGGATAGATGTTTGTTTTAGTTTTCTTCCATTCATTGAGTTTTGCCTAGTTGGAATAATAAATTTGCCTCGTGAGGCTGTCCACGGATGTTGTTGATTGATGTTCTATAGAATTGATTCATTGTTAAATTGATGAGAGGTGAAGCTTGGTTTTATATATGTATTGTACAGGGAGTTGACACCTCGTGTTTGGGGTTAGGTTTAAACAGTTGGGTAGTTAACGAGACCTAGAAGTGTGTGGGAAATTCTGGGGCGTTACATGATCATTATGATTACTTAGCGTGGCACCTGGACGTTCCACAGCAGGGATTTGGCGGCGATGGTTGAGGAGATCGTGCAAATTCGATTGTCCTCGGCTTCCATGTTATTTTCTCTGGTTCTCAAGAAATTCTCGCAGGTTGTTGGTATCCATTCCCTCTGAGTCTATTGGGGGATTTCTAGGCCAGTTGTTTCCTCCCAAGGTCAGTTTCTCCTGAGTATTTAGAAATGGGCTTATTTGTGTATATGTATATGTATATGTATATATATATATAGATTTTTTCTAGTTGTTTCCTTTTATTCTCTCAAAGATAAACCTTTTCTATTTTATTTTTTTTAAAAGATAATTTGTTTTTAGAATTATAAAAAATTAAAAACAAAAAAGAAAGAATTTTATTAAAACTTTATCTTTTTATGTTATCCTTTTTAAAAAAGGTTTCTTTAGGGTTTGTTTTAAAAGCCCTTAAACCTTAGGTTTTATTTTCTTAAACTGCCAGACTTAGTTTTCTCTCCAAGCGAAAAAGAAAATAAAAGAAGAAGAATTTTGGTATTTTCTCTCAAAGATCGGTAAGTTGGTATTTTCTCTCAAAGATCGGTAAGTTTTTCTTTCTCGTTGTTTTAGTTTTATTTTTCTTGATCTGTAGTTGTTTAATTTAGTTTATTGGGAAAAGTTTTAAGGTTTTTGTTTTTTTAGAATAAGATTTTAAGGACTATTTGCCTTAAAAATTTTCCAGAATTTTTGGTTTGAATCTTGTTGTTTATGAGACAGTTTTTGGGCTATTTTGAGACTCTTTTTGCATAAAAAGTTCACATATTTGTATCTCATAAACTATAGTTTATTGTTATGATTTTTACATGAAAAATTATATGTTTTTACCAAGTTTTAAAGGTTTTCTATATAGTTTTTAGATCTGATTTTTCTATAAAAGTTAGTAAATTGTTAATTGTTTTGTGGAAAATTCTTGAAAGTTTTATTTTATAGAACATAAAATTTTCCAAATTTAAAATCCCAAAATTTTCAATTGTTTAGAAGGTTTTTAAGCTTGTTTTGTTGAGAAACTTTTTGTAAAATTTGTCCGTATTGATTTATACCGATTCTTGTTATTTTAAAGTTTGTTATTTTTTAATTTAGAGATTTTTTAACCCAGTTTTCAGATCTGGTTTTGGAAAATCCATACTTTTCTTAATTGTTTTGCATAAAAAATTGTTTTGAATGGGAAAATTGGATAGATAAGATTTGCTTAGTAATTGGTTGAATTTTAAATCCTTAGATAGGATTTAAGTATTGATTTTGAATATTGGTTGTTCTCGACCTCTAAGTTGACAACTATCCAAGGAAGAAGTTAACTTAGATTCGTAGGATTTTCGAGAAAGGTAAATCATTTACCATATCCCTTCGAAAAGTATTGTAAGTAAATTGTCATATCCTTTTGAAAAGTTTTGTAAGTGATTTACCATATCCGTTCGAAAAGTATTGTAAGTGAACTGTCATACCCCTTCGAAAAGTATTGTAAGTGAATTGTCATACCCCTTCGAAAAGTATTGTAAGTGATTTGTTGTATCCCTTTTGGAAGTTAAATAATTTAGTTGAAGATTTATTATGGTTTCCATAATATTTTTATGGAAATCGATATTATGTTTATTTACAAAATATTTGACGTATGTTTTGTATGATTTGATAAGGTTTGGTTGGAAATTATTTAAAGGTTTGAAATTGACCTTTTTTTTATTTGTGAAATATCTGAGATCATGTTTTGTTGATAAAGTTGTTTGAAATTATTTAAATGTTTTCAATTAATTTCATATTGAAAATATGTATTTGTTTTGCATATTTATTTGAAAGATATTTTTGATTGATTTGATAGGGCTATCCAGATATGTCATCCTTTTGTTTTGAGGAATGCTTTGCTTATTTGGGATAGTAGCCTAATTTGAAATTGATGGATTTCTGTTCTGGCTTATTTGTGGGGAGACACTTTTGTGGTTTGACATTCCTTTGGAATGAAGATTCATGTATGTTATTTATTCGCGTGGCCTCATACTTAAGTAACCATTCTTTTTGTTCTAATCGATATTATTTTGACAACTCTATTTTGGTCGATATTAATTCGACAACTCTGATAGAAGCTTCTGATTGATTGATTGGTGTTACCGACTGGTAATTACATGTGTTCTATAGGTTACCCAAATAATGCAACCTCCCACTCGAATTTTGAAAGTATGAATGAATGTAAGATTGTTTTGAATGTTTGAACGACTTAGTTTATTCGAAAGTTTGAAAGTTGTACTAAATGTTTTAAGATTTTTAAAACTTTTGATTTGTTTGTATTTTTGCTACAAATGTTTCGAAAGGAAAATGAATTTCAATATTTGATATGGTTTTTGCTTATTGAGTATTTTGTACTCGTTAGCTTATGAGAACTTAGTTAGCTCTGATATTTATTCTTTAGCTTGATTATAGTATATGTTTCTGTTTCAAAGTTGGACTTGTCTCCCTTTTTTTTTGTCATAGTATCAAATTAAATAAATAAGTTTTTCCTTTGGTATAATGTTTATTTGTTTACCCTTCCGCATTATTGTTAGAATGATTATATTAGAAAATACGGGTTGTTACAGTTCGTGACTCATCTTTCCTCTCTATGGGAGTCTTTCCTCTGATCGGATCTCGATCAAGTGGTCCCTGATAGGGAGAATTGGCGCAAATTCCTCGGTGTCCTTTTTGTTTTAATAGATCCAGAATTTGGGCCATATCTCCCTTCAGTCCCTACACATCTTGGTTAATTTAGGTGTGCTTACTTCGGCATCATTGAGGCACTTCGGTATTATCTATGAAATGGGTAGTCACCGTGATGTTCTCTTGTTCCTTTCTGGTGCTCTGAACCAGACGTCGGAAAGTTGGCTGGGATGCCACATGCCTCGGGGTGGGATGTTGGAATCGTCCGGAATCTCTGGTTTCGTCTGGAATAGTACGGGTACCATTCATGTCCATGGTGTGATAATTCGAGTTTTGGAGTTTTTGACAGTCGTCCCCATAGATGGCGCCAACTTTTGATGAAATTTTTGACGACTCGAGTCAGATCAAGAGTTAGATAAAACGAACCAAATTATTCGGGGAATCGACCATCAAATTATTGGAGCTAAGATCTGCAATAAGAAAAAAAAATATGAGAGAATAAACACTGGTTTGATCTCGGTCGACCACACTCTGATGCTTAAGTCAGTTAATGAGCTTAAGAGAAGAAGATAGGAAATTGGCAAGTCTGGAGTGAATTGCTTGAGAGAGAATGACATACATCCCTTCTATTTATAACTTTTGGTAGTAGTGTGAACAGGTCTTCGAAAGTCAAGTGACTTCATCAAAGTCAACTTCCGCTCTATACTTGGCTCTATAATGGGACCAATAAATGCGCAACAGGGTAGGCGGGTCCCCTGCATCCCATATCTGCACTATAGCGATAGCGACAGTCAAACAAGGTATTCGGAAAAGGTGTGCGACCCAATGGGCCGCACAATATCGAGGCCCACCAACTCAAGGCGGCAAGCCCGTCCAAAATCCCCCCAGCCTTTCATTGTGCGGGTGGGGGGAATGTCGCGCATTATGCAACCAGCACACATAATTTGGGTTTCACAACCTGTTTTTCAATTCTCCCAATATATTCTTTTTGCCTTTTTCACTCTCCTTCTTTAGGTGATCCCTTCTACTTTATTCTTCCATTATATTCTGTCTTATGTATTTTTCTATTTAGGGTTTGGTGCTTTTCTTTTTATAACACTCAGACATAGCCATCAAGATAATTTTGAGCAATATCTATTAAAAATACTTTTTATAGTAGAAAATCTAGTTGGCAATTCTCATATTAGCGTTGTTGTCTTATATCGGAATGCTATAGCATGGGTATTACAATTCTCTAGCATTGTCTTGCAGGATCTTGAAAAGGCAACATTACTTCCTAATACTACAACAATGTTGATTGCTTTGTAGTTTGCTTTAGCAATCTAGATTTACTTTCTCTCTCTAATAACCATTGTGGATAAATTCAAAAACTCTCCTTCATTGTATAAATGATTCAAAAGATAATGTACAGTGCTTTATTTCATTATTATGAAATTAATCCTCATATATTCTATTATTAAACATGACTTCACTTCAACTTTGACAATTAATAAGCCAAAATACACACAAAACTAACTCCTTGCTACGTAGTTCAATCATTCGTGACAATTACGGATCACAACTCATAAATAGTAATAGAACAATCAATATGAATTAAGGCATCAATTTAATTAAATATCGATTGTTCATGAAAAATAAGAACAATAAACAAATAATACTTGAAAAGAAGAAATCCCTATCTAACCTAAGTCTCCCGAACTTATAATTAGTGTTGAGACATTGTAACAGTAACTTTTTTTTAGTAGCAGCATTAAGACATTGTCCCTAATATCTCAATGCAATGACTTCAGGTTTGCTCATTTCTTTGATAATTTTCTTATATCACTTTAGAACACTTGATTTTTGTATTTTATGACATTTTAATGTTCAATTCTATAAATTCTTCAACTTTTCATCTCCCGAATAAAATCAAACATAGTTTATCTAGTTAAAGATAATATTAATTTAAAATAAAAAGGATTTGAACACAATAAATGTGATAAATTACGCCCTATCAGCATTGCTCGCCTTGGTCTTTTTCACAGACCTTGTCTCTTAACCCCGAATTAGCAGTGTCGTCTTGGCCTTTTCATCGGCAAATAGGTCATATTCCACCAAAAGGTCTTCCCCTTCATGATGGCATATCCAAAGCCATTGTTAACCAGATTCTTGGCAAACTTCTCAAAGTCTGGGAGCTTCTGGAAGGTTTCTTAAAGGAAGGACACATTGGTAAGGTTTTTTTTTTTTTTTTTATAGCTCGTGCCCCTCCTTCGATTCCTCCAATTGCTTCTTCAAAGCAGTCGCTTCAGCTTGGGACTCCCCAACCTCAAACTCTGTTCCAGGTTGAATATATCACAAAAAATAGATTGCAAGCGCATACCCATTGCAAATGGTAGTTGGAATAGCGTTTTGAGGATCGATCCTAAGGGACAAAAGGTGTCTTTTTTAAAACTGTGGTGATCAGTGAAATGAAATAGATTTTAGGACAAAAGTAAGTGGGAATGTTGTTTGTTTTGGTTTGAAACATTGAATCAATAAAGCACAGCTCATTGTATTTCGAATTAACTATGCTAGGCACCTCCTATAGTGTATTGCACCATTTAGCTTCTTAACCTACTTATGTCTAACTGATCTCAAAGTACTAAGTCCTGTCCTAATATGTCTGATAGTAAAAACCTCAATTATCTTAAAATTCATCGCAACCTCAGGTCAAGGTCCTATGTCTAGACTACTTATGGACGAAATCCTTATATTTAAGTCTTCCTCTCCTCGTTTAATCAATTAACTTGTGATAAAAAAAACATCAATCTTTTCAATATTGAACTTGTTAAATCATCAATTGGACAAATTAACTTTTTAACTTTTTGAAAACAACTTAAGTTGATAAAAAGTTGGGAAAAGCTTTTGCCTTCGCCTATTTAAAAAATTAGCTAATCCTCCATAACTAGGCTAGGAAACGAAAATTTAGCTCATATTCGTAAAGGAAAAACATAATTTAAACAAGCTATAAATTGAAGACGTGATTTACGAAGAACATGAATAAGAAAGAAGCTGTAAATGAAGGACTTCACAATTCAAATGAACTTTACCCGTCTCTTTGAAGCTTAGGTGAGTAAAAACTCGTTCTATTCTACAAGAATGTGTAATTGCGAGATTCTTCTGAGATAAAGAGAGGAAAACGAGATGCAGAAGAAGAAAGAATGGTAGACTTTTATAAAAAGAAGTGTGAGTTACAAACCAATAAATGCAAGGCTTGAAATTACTTGAAGAAATTAAGTAAAATTGACACTAGTAGAAACATAGGCTTTCATGACAGTTGTGAATAGTAAAAAAGTTGGGAGGAAAAAAAACTGTCATAAATGATTGGGGCGCATTTTTGGCGAGAAGCGGAACTTTTTGGACTTTTCAAGTTTTATGACACTTAAAAACTGTCACGAAAATCGAATTTTAGATGACAGTGGAAAAATGTCACACAAAAGTAGAGACGCATTTTTGGCCGGAAAAAACAGTGATCTACGAAAATTTCCATGTTTTATGATATTTTATAATTGTCACGAAAAATAAAAAAATTTCAAGTATTCCGCGACAGTTACCTAGACCATCTTGAGAATCTATGACATACAAAAAGTGTCACAAATGATTTTAAGTGCGTTTCATTTCAATCAGAAAAACTGTAGGTTTATAGATGATGATAACTATTTTGGGATTCTCCGGTCGTATCGAGTATAAATTTATGATTAATAGTTTACCTAAATACTCCATGAAATAAGTAGAAAATTGTATTTGGGATAGTGGTCTGCTTACCCTATGTAATTGTGCCCTTCCTCTTCGGTCCCGAGTTTGAGCCCGGTGGATTTTAATTATTTTTTTAACCCTCTATTGCTTTTCCTTGCGTAAATTTAATTCATCATGAAAATTAAAATATGATGATGAACATAAAATAATGTTAGTTAATTCTAGTTTCACCAAGCATTTCGTAAATAAAATATTCATACTTAAATTATATCCTGATTTTTTTTTAATTGGAATGAAAGGTAACTACATAGGAATTAATCTCGGTTTAAATTGGAACTAGTTAGGTTCATGAACCTTTAAATTTTTTATAACATAAAATTTTGAATATTTGATAAATTTTTTTAATCAAATCTTAGTTTTGAAAATTTGTTTTTATTTTCATTAGATTCTTGCCCAAATTTTTAAGATATTAATAGGAACTTTTTGAAAGAAAATAGAAACAAGTCATAATTTTTCTCAATAAAATGAAAAATAAAAACTTAGAAGAATATCTTTTTATAAAAAAATTAAAATATATAAATGATAACATATTTAGTTAATTGTGTAAATTGAACTCAAGACCAGTGAGACTTATGGATACACCCAACACCAACAAAATAAGCTAGATTTTATGAAATGTTAAAGTATAATATTAATATAGTAATCATTTTTTCATTCTAGGTAAATAAAATTAAAATAAATTAAATCAAACCACGCCTTTTTACGAACTACTTTCTTCCTTATCTTTTTCGATGTTCTTTTCAAAAAACCTAAAATTCATCATCTTCCTCACACTATTATGAAAATTTGTTGAACTGTTGGATGTGTTAATGGATTATTGATAATTATATTATTTTATTGTTGGGTTCACAAAACCATACTGAGTTTTTGGTTTTATGTAGATTCCAAGAATTATTTATTTGCATTGGGAAAGCTATTCAAAATATGGGTGCTCATGTGGCAAGATTTAATTGGAAAAAAAAATGTTGTCTCTAACTTAGAGATTTACTAAAAGAAAAAACAATGGGAAAATGGGAAGCACAATTCACAACAAATTTATACTATAATTCAAGATCAATCCTTTCATAAATTGTCTTAGGAATGAAAAGTTATTTCGTATGACCTTGCTATAACTGTCACCTACTGACTTAAATATAATTTCTTCTTGGTTGGCTCTATTTAGAAACTTACTTTTGGAGACCAATAACTTTTATGTGCTTCTACCGTAAGTTATGGTGAAACTTTAATGAATCAAAATTATTAAGGTAAGTTGATTAAGTTATTTGTGATGAAACTCAACGAATTAGAATTATTTAGATTGGTTATTTTATTGAGTAATGTGTGGAAAATACATATATATTATGGATTTATGCTTATGTTGCGATAGAAAATGAATTCTATAGTACAGGTGCTTTCTCAAAGTATTAGTGGCTCATTCTTAATTAACCTGAAGCCCAACAAAGTTCTTAAATGGTTTTCATAAAATCTCAAAGTGGAGTTTTGATGTTGAATTTTTGTTTATGAAATTATAGGTGAAACTTGTAAACTCTTTAATGATAAACTAGATTGACAGTTACTGTAGTGTTTTTTATTGAATTTTCATTAAAACTTGCAAACTCTTTAATGAATTTTCGTTCATATGTTTTATTTGTAATTACTAAAGTGCTTTATTTGGGATTTTGTTTTAGACCTTTTAAAATTAAGAATTTCGAATTTATAGTTGGAACCAAAATTAAGGAAGGTGGAATGAAAGAAAATAAAATAAAAGGAAATGATTTGAAATAAAACAAACCCTAGAAAAAATCCCACCTCTTCCACCTTCTTCTTCACAACCGCCGCGCACACCCCCCCCCCATTAAATTAGCTGAAGGAAATGATTTTCCGTCCAACCTCTCCCTCCCTCCGGTGACTTTTTTCGGCAACGACCAGTCCTCCACGAACAAGCAGATGCGGCGACGCTCCATCAGAACCCGACCCCAGCAGCGGCAGTGTTTTGTGTCGGTTGTACCAACGGCGGCGATACCTGTACACCTCGACGCCCAGACCTGCGAACGGTCGCCCTTTGGGTGAAGCTTCCTAGGCGGTTAAAGGTGATTTCGACGACGCAACATCAGATTTTGGTGGTTCTACTGTGCTTCGCGGTGGATCTGGCATTTCCCGGTGGACGGCAGCAACGTACACTACCTCCCACGACGGCAGCAACGTCCCCGTCACCTAGACCGTGCACAGTAGCGTCGGTAGTGCATCTCCATTGCTGGATCTCGTGGACAGCGGCATTTCGGTGGTTTTCACCACTTACCTACACCCGTTCGAAGCCCGTTTTGCAATACCTGCCCCCTTCGACATTGGCCGACTCTTAACCAAAGTAGTTTTAGTGTGAGTTATTAGGTAACGACTCATCTAAATTGGATTTAAAGTTAATTAAATTTAATTCTAACCCAAGTTTGGTTGTTCTTGGTTTAGGACCCCGGCGGCGAGCTTAGTAGCGCATTAGGGACGTGATATTAAGTAGTTTCTTACTTGAGGGGATTGGATTTTGTTTGTTGATATAAATTGATTGTTTTCTTTGTTGTCTATATGTGTTATTCGCATGATTGCTTGTGGTTGATGTTATCCTCTGAAAGTCATTGTCGATATGATTTTAGATCGTTGCTATGTTTGGTTGGACTATGTTAAGGATACTGTGTTAATTGTTACGGTTTGGTGCCTGACCATGTCTTCAGTTAATTGGTCAAATTGGTAATGCATGGGTACGCTGAACTTGTTGTGGAGTTCTTGTGTAGTTGTATTCATAAAAGTATTTTGGGAACACTTGTGAGGAGTTTGCTATGTTAAATCATACTGGACATATGTTGGGTATAATTTTTGATTACTTGGGAATTGTGGATGCGTTGAGCTTCTTGGACAGCCTCTATGAAGCTCCATACCAAGAATTTTCTTGGCTTGACCCAAGTCCTTCATCTCAAATTCACTTCTAAGTTCATATTTTATCTTCTCAATCTCGCTTTTATCTTTAGAAGCTATCAAGATGCCATCAACATAGAGAAGGAGTAGAACAAGGACATCACTAGTAATAACTTTCTTATATATACAACAATCATAATAATTTTTCTTGATTCCCTTTACTATATACAAAAGGAAAGTGAGTGGGGATGAAAAAAAAAAAGTGTGTTTATTTGCTATATTTTAGGGAATATGAAATAGGAATAGGAAGAAGAATAGGAAGGTTTCTATTTTTTCCATGTTCATTTAGTTAAATTCTACCTTATGAGAGTTGTCTAATTGTTAGACTAACAAAGTTAGATACTATATTTAGATATTTGCTCTGAAGCGTGTATCGGTAAAGCGTTTTTTGAGTTCAATTATTTGTCTGGATTGATATGTAACTTATTCATTACAGTGTATTATTTATATGTTATATTCACAGTGCCCAAAACAACCAAATGCAGTAGAATGTGGTACTATGTCATGTGGTTCATGCGTGACATAGTCTTCGCTTGTAACACAACAATCCTAGAATGCGTACGTATATAGCATAGTGTTAATGTTTGAAAATATATATTCTCAAATTGCATTGTTTTGACTTTGATATAAATATGTATAGATGAAAGGGGCACCGTAGTGTTACACACAGGAGCACTTGGATGTGATTAGGAGGGAGTTGGCAGAGTTCATACTCTCACACATATATATTTTTCGTAGTATATGTACTATCTTGTTTTTTGGCTTCCCCGTTCAAGCAACTCATTGTCGTTTTGTTGGCCACCACATGTTGGAGATTGAAAATTTGTTGAGTGAAAGATTTGATCGAATACTTTTGGGCAATACCCTTGGCATGAACCACATATACTATAATGGTCTATTGAGGTATGGTTCTTGGTCACTGTTAACGCCTCATGTTATTGACTATATTCTTGAGCTGAAACATATCGTATGATCTTGAGAGGCATGTTGGTCATAGTAGAATTATTCGTTGTGTCATTTACCACCCCATAAAATTAGGTAGGCATTATGTTTTCATGTCTTCTCAAGGAATGGAGAATGTATATATATAGTTTCATTTCATTTTGGTCTGGAGAAAGAAAATAAAATACATGGGTATTACATTGGACGAGATCAGAATGATTGCTAAAGCAATAAATTGCATTGAATTGAATGAGAGAAAATGATGTACATATATATAGTGAAAAAGGTAGAGGGTGATCATTCCCTTAATTTTATTATTGGGAGGGGAAGAAGCACTTATTTTTCATTTGTTTTGTTCCTCCCTCAGTTTTAGTTTCTATTTTCTATCGTTATTTGCAAGTTAGCACTTTGGCAATAGTGGAGTGTGTTAAAACTTTTTTGTCTTTCATATTCTTTCCTTTCATTACTTTTACTAATTGTGAAAGCTTGTTCTTGCAGTGAGAAATGTGTTAAATTATGTTTTCGTTTCGTCTGTGTTTGTTAAAGCTATGTTGTTTAGATTGGTGTGTTCATATCTTGTTTCTGGTTGTCTTTCTCTCCCGTTCTGGCTACTTCTGTGGTCTCTTTTGTGAATATCGTGCATTGATTTTAGGCTTGACTTGCTTATGTAAGATTGTGCAAGTAGCCAATTAAGACTTAGTGTTTATATGTGTCATGCATATAGTATAATGTGTCATTGGATAATTGTGTGGTTTAAAGTTTAGTTGGATAATTGTGTGGTTATCCTGCAGCAAAGATAGCCAATTAAGGTTTAGATAAGTAGATTGTTTTTGTTTGTAAGTGTTCAACATCTGTGTTGTTTCTAAATCAGTTTTATTTGGGTAAAGTCTTTAGTATTTTGAGAATTTCAAAAACTGTTTGATATTGTCTTTTTGCATTTTTGTTTTTCTGAAAGAAGGGTTTTGTATGAGTGATTTGAAAGAAACAAAAAGATTGTACGTGCGTATTGTGATTGTTAGCTCTTTGGCACTACATAAAGGCTATGAAAGTGTGTTGATTCCAAATGTTTGAAATATAATTTTCTTTTCTACAATGTTAACCTTTACAATGAGTAGAAAGAGGAAGTAAACTCAGTGTAAGAGATTTGAAAGTTTAGGTTCTCCACTTTCGTGTATATTTGTCGAAGTTAGATTCGTGTTTTCTTAATTGTTTGTTTTGAATATGTTGTTCAGCATGTGGGAGCGARGGTTGAAGGAAGCAGGGTCGAGCATTTCTGTAATATGTTAGCTACATTTTGTAGTTTGACCTTTCACATTTACACGGTATGAACTCTAACAACATATAATAGTAATATGTTAGCTACATTTGTTGTAGTTTGACCTTTTGTATATACTATTGTGAAAGATTTGAGGTTTTTGTCCATTGTTTAGATCTTCCAAGAAGAGTCTGGAGAACCATGGCGGGTAGCTACTTGGAATATTTAAAAGATGACTGTTGGGCCATTTTTTGTTGGGTTAGTAGTTACTTGGTATAGTTTGTTTATGTACGGGGTTGATGGACATGAAAAACCTTCATTGATGTATATATAATTTACTATATGTATACACTTTATATTTGTAGGTGGGTTGGTCTACTAATGAATATATATGTTTTTGTATGTAAAATACGTCACAATTGGCAGGTATAGGTACAACTATGAAAAGCGATTTTTAAAAACATTTCAAAACAAGTTTAATGAAGGTTTTCATATAATTATATGAAAAGTTACATTTATAAATGTCAACAAAATAGGTTTTGTGACAAAAAAAACATTTAAAACCGTCTCTTGACAATTAAATGTTGACATTATTAAGTATATCATGATAGTTTTAAATTGTCGTTGTAAACCTTTACGCGACATATATTGAATGACATTATTTAATGTTGCATGACATTTGTAAGTTGTAATTATACAATTTTTTGTGATAGTTAAAACTGGCAATATTGACTATTAAAACTATCACTACAAAGGTTTTCATGACAGTTATAAATAATCGTTAAAAAAATTCATGTCAATCTTTAATGTCGTTAAATACTAGTTCATGACAATTTATAAACTGTCGTCTTTAGGTATTTATTGACAAGATGACAAAAATATTTGATTGTTTTAGTGACACTTATAAATTGTAATTAAATGACATTCTGTGACATTTATTAATTGTGATGGAAAATCTATTTATGTTTCTCCTCTTTCTTGATGMCTTAATAGATGACAATTACATAATTGTCATGAATTATGTTAATGACAGAATTTAACCGTCATTGAAGGCCCACTTTCTACTAGTGTGATGTAAACAAATAGCACGCCCTTTCACTAAAATAGCTTGGAATGCTTGAAACTTTAAAGAAATGAAATTTAACGAGCTGAACAAGAATAAAATTAAGTGTAGAACTAAACTAAGCTGAAGAATGAAGCTAAAAGCAATCTAAGGGCGGGTAATGGTGATCGAGAAATGATGGAAAACTTGATGAATTAAGTGGAGAACTTGTTGAATTTTATAGGTAACTTGGAGTTTGTTGAGTGGTTGAGAGAAACGTGGTTATCCATGGCTACCTAATTACTCCATTTGACTGACTAATTATGTTAACAAACCATCCTCCTTACATTCGGGAAGAGGTGCTAACTGGGAACCTTTAACACCTCGCTTTCTTCTATTTGCCAGCAACTCCAAAACCATGGCTGTAAAACAAAAGACAAGTCAGTACTCCATCCTAGTTAAAGTATGAAGTATGACGTATACAATACAAGGCAAGAGTATTTACCTTCTTATTCTTCGAAGGAAGAGTCTGAAAATTCCACGATTGGGCCGAAAAGTCCATATTCGATGAGGTTATCATTGTTGAACAAGGTAGCAGCACAACGATGACTCACCAAGCAAAGTGATATGCAACAACCCAAGCGTATGGACATCTCGAGCGTCTAGCCACTTGAATCCAATAGTATACTTGGTTCAACCCAAAGAGAAATGTTAGATCAATTACCTTCATAGCCAAACCATAATCCAATAGTAGAAATTCGGTTTATCGTGACGTTTTTTACGCGGTCACGTATATGCCCACCATGAAAGGTATACGTGACGTTTAAAAAACGTCACAAACATTAGCACACGTGACGGTTAAAGACCATCATGCAAAATATAGTCTTCCGTGACATGTGTTAAACGTCATGAAAAATGATTTCGTGACGTTTTAAGAATGTCACGATTAAGACATTTCGTGACGTTTAAAAAAAGTCACTGTAAATGAGTAACCATGACGACATTTGATTTTGTGACGGTTATACAACGTCACAGAAAGACCTTGAGTAGCGAGGAAAGATCACGTGACATCCTTTCGTGACGTTTTTTAAACATCACGAAAAAAATATTTCATGACGTTCAATAATCGTCTTACAAACATCTTTGTGACATTTTAAAAACGTCACGAATGATTTGATTTTGTGACAATAAAAAAACCACAGAAAATGTATTTGATTTTGCTTGCAGATGTTGCGTAATAGAAATATCATATAATCAAATTGTCAATCGAACACGAAAATATATTAATTTAGATAACAAAGTTGAAATATATTAAACATTAACAAGGAAGCTAATATATTAATTTAGAATATATTAGTATCCTCAAAGTACTATCAAACTTGATAGTACATTATATTAAACATATACAAATTCCTACAAAACACAAATTACAGAACTAAAACAAGTCTCACACACCAACCTCAATAAGGAAGCTCATCCATCAATAAGTTGCATTCCTAATTGTCGACTTCTTCGAGCTTGTGAAACACCTAATGAAATAAAACAATATCTAAGTTAGATAAATGAATAACCAAAGATAGATAAAGGAAGAAAGTCACTTCTAAAAGAACGAGTCTATCTATTAAAAAGTGCAAAGGATCGTAAAGATAACTATATATTCCATATTGTACATGAAAATATTCAATTAACATTCTTAAATAAACGCATTAGGGGGCTATCACAATAGTAATCTTTGGAAATACATATCCCAACAGAATAAAATTGATTAAAAAAGTATTTTCCTACGTACACTTCTTCTACATCCTTTACTAATATAGCATAAAATATTAGAATTAAACAAGTATCACAATGATTGAAAACGTACATTAATCTTCTACAACACTACAAAAAATCAACATTCATAGTCTTCCTTATCAATTTACTCAATAATTTGATAAAACAACCAACTTAACGACCAAACAAAAGATCCCAACAGAACAAACGCGATTAAAATAAACGATATGCCTACACTTTTTCTCTACATCCCTAAATTACATAGCACAAAATATTAGTACAATCACAAGGTTTGTAAACGTACAATCATCCCGTAATGAAAGTATCAATAATTAGTATACATAAAACTCTTATGTTCTTACACAATAATATGATACGATAACCAACAAAACGACCAAACAAAGTTCCAAACAGAACAAAAGATGTTACAATACAGAAGAACCCGACACTTCTTCTATATCCTTCAGCAGTATAGTACAAAATTTACTTAAACAATATAGCACAAACTAGCTAGTATATCAGACGGATTATAAACGTACATTCCTCGTCTAATGATAGTATCTATAACCAGTATTCAGTCTTCCTTGTGAACTTACTCAATAATCTGTTAAAGATGCTAAATTAGCTATAGTTACAACATATAACAAGGCCGATTCAGAAAAATTTAAGATTTATAGTATGAATGATGACGAAAAGCAAGTTAGCTTACATGTTTTATAATGGAACTTTGATGGAAATGGCCACGACATGTTTAAGCTCACTTGGACACGGTCTGACAAAATAAAAACCCTTACAACGTCTCGTTTCAGTGCGAAGCTTGCTCCTGTCATATAAACAATAATAAGCAAGTTAGTAAAGAGGGCTTCTAAAAAAAATTTGACATAAACAATAACATTCAAACAAATGAATGAATAATACAGTACCACATACTCGTTGAGGTACGAACCCAACCAAGAATTTCTTGTATGACAAATAGATACTTCAAAATAATGTGCCTGCACTACATCAAAATTGGTTTATAATGTCAGTTCTCAACAGACAGTGATATCAGTTCTACAACTGACATTAACCTGGGTGTAATCGTAGTTAACGATGTCGATTTTTGAACGATGTCGGTTGTGAACCGACATTAAATTAGCTGACATTGTAGATCTTAAATGTCGGTTATAACAATGTCGGTTATTAATTGACATCTAAACAACCATTTATTGATGACGGTTATTTATGATGTCAGTTCTAAACTGACATTATTTTTACGCAAATGTACAACAAAAAAAAAATAAAATATTGTATATACCATATCAAAATACCTATAAAATATATATCAAAATTATTCAAGCCAACAAATTAATGCAATAATCTCTAGAGAAATACAAATTCAACAATCACAATATTTATATACACAAATATTATAAGTAACTCATCGATACAACAAATGTATCATATAAATGGTTCAAAGTTGTGAAGAATAAATCATAAAGTAATGAAAATTATAATGACTAATCTATCTAAATGAAGTTCGCAACACATCTAGCCTACTTATCTTATAGGGAATTATCAATTCCCATAAATTAGAATTTAATATTGAACACTTACCTCCAAAGCATTTACATGACTTCTTTCAACCTTAGTGCTATTCTATGCTTCTTTGGTAATTCTTTCAATTTCATCCTTCAATGCATTTTTGTTGGCTTTCATGTTCTGCAATAAGCTTCTCTAATTAAATGTCTGACTTTCTTAACAAACTTCTAAATTGAATTCTTCCTTTATCTTCAACATATTCCACCTTCCATAGCCCATGAGAAGCAAAAAGTTCAAGAAATTAGAATCAATGCTATAGAAACTAAGAAGCAACACTATAGAAACTACAAGAAAATATGATGGCCACAATGGCACAGCTTATAGAAACCTAAAAATAGATAATGGCTTCAATGTTACCCTCCAATTTTCTTTTTAGAGAGAGTAAAGTCAAGAGATAGAAGATAAATTGATTTGAACATCTAAAGTTTAAACGATTTATAACCAACTAACATTATAACATGTAACATATTTTCTTGCAACTTATTACATTGTTATTAGAAGGTCTAATTGCATTCGATTGTTTCAAGATGCTCCAAGGTTCCTATCTGGTGTCATATTATAGTCTTCTCAGCATCTTACATGGAAGCTCCTAAAAAAATTAAAAACGTGATAAAAATATAAATATGCACATCTCATAGTTACTGGTTGAAGCGTACTGATTGAGAAATCATCAAAGTTCAGGATAAGCAATAAGAAAGAGCTTTGAGTAGAAGTCAAGCAAGCACCACTAGTATACACAATGACAACAATATTATGAACTAAGATTACAGCCAAGGGTTCTAGTAGAGTTGTAATCTTAGTTCATAATATTGTTGTCATTGTGTATACTATTGGTGCTTGTTTGAACTTTGATGATTTCTTATTGCAACCTTACGCCGTTCATCGAGTCTTCACATCATAGGTGTTGCACTCGGATCTGTTGTTGCCACTTGCAGGAGAAACTTCACTCAAATATATGAAGGAGAAATTG